CTCTCTCTCTCTCTCTCTCTCTCTCTCTCAATCTAGGAATATATATATATTGTTACACAACGTCACAGACGTCACGGATGTTAGTAGAATTGTTCAAAATGCGCATATCAAAGAGTTCGAACCTCATAAACTTCAATTCAGGCATTCCAGATGGTCGATTTCACAAACTCGCGGGGTCGTCGTAGTTTTTCATAAAAATGCACACCGCACTTGGATACGCGCAATTTATCGCTCTCCTCTTTCTTCTGCTACCACTTATGGGATGTACTTGGAGGTTCTTTTACTGCCTCGTGTTCCAGATCGGTGCGCACCGACAGGTACAAATGGTAGAACAAGAAAGGAGGAGAAAGGACGTGAACGGAAGAAAAAGAAGAATGGTGAAAACTGTAAAGAAGAATCCAAAAGATACAGAATAGCTTTTTCAGCGGGCGTAGAAGTTATAATTTGCTTCCCCTCCAAGTGAATACTTTGCTTTAAATTTATTATCGTGAGTTCGAGGAATGGAAAATTGATATTGTCCGCGTTATACGCTTTGCACCGCGCATCACGTTGTTTTATAAATATAATCCAGGAAAATCGATTTTTGCAAAATTCTCCGCGACATATTTGAGCAAACAAAAAGAGAAAATCGGAAAGAGACATTCTCGATTTTTATTTGGGAATCGAAAAAGTTACTTTACCTTTTGACTTTTCCTATCGATTTAATCGGTTTAAATCGGTTCAAGCGTGTCAAGTAATATATAATTTATTATTGCTTGATATTACGGAATTTCCTTTAATTCGTGTTGTTCTGATAAATATACAATATTGTACTCCAATTGAGTTAATTTATACCGACACGTTGTAAATGCGGGAAATTCGCAAGCAGCAATTCCGAGTCAAATATCGATTCTAAATCTGATCATGTCAGCTGCAATATAACAGCAGCATGCAATATAACAAAGAGAGAACTCTGTTCGATGAGTTACATCAGTTCCGAAATAGTCGTCCGTTTAAAAAAGATATAGTCGTTTGAAAACAGCACCTAAATTTATTGATCTAACTCTCTCTCACGCTCTCTCCCTTTAGTCAGCCGTGAAATAATTTTTGACTCTCGACAACCAAACAAAAAAGGAAGAAAAATGTCTCAGACGTCATTCTTTCAATAACCAAACATTCTCATACCTTAAGTAATTGAAATAAATGATAAAAGTATTTTAATATAAACTATTCAGAAGCGAAAAATCTCTTCTTAATGTTTTATCATCATGTTTTAAACATGAAAATGCTTATTTCGACCATTTAATATTTTATTCAAACACTATTATTCCCTTGCTGTGAAACATTTTCCAGCTCTGAAAACGTTTCTGAAAAAAAAATGTTACTAATAAATTTTATTTTACAGATGATTTGTTTAACTTTTATTCATTGTTATTTTTGCTTTATGTGCTTAAAGATATATTGCAGTAAAATAAAATTGGACAATTTACAAGTTTGCTTTTTACTATGATCTATTTTGCACAACATGCAAGGTTATTTCTTCCGCGCATGCAGAAACTAATGAATTTCAATGCAGGCAATGCAGACTACTATGTGGCTATGCAAACTCGCGTTTATGTATCTCTCAAAGGGATTTCCCACAAATTCTAAAAGGGCATTATATTCAAACACGCATTCACCTACGTTTAACACATTTCTAAATTTTAAACATTCTCACCAGTTATTGAGAACAGTTATTGAGAACTATTAGTTTAAATTCAGATAGTTAAATAGATTAAAATAATATTCAATAATATTATTATCCATCACTCATCTTCATTGGAGAGAGAAATTGAGTTTCATTCAAAAGAGAAATTACCATGAACTTTGTATATATATTATATATACGTATGCATATAATTATATCATGTTTGATGCATACATAAAAGCTAATATTGGTCGTAGTTTGAGTTCAATTAATTAATTAAATAAAATAATTAAACGTTCAATAACATTAAATCTTAAATGTAGCTATGTTATAAGTGCCTTTTTTATCAATTTGAGATTTATTTTTTATTACTGAAAAATAAAAACTACTTATTATTATAAGTTTTAAACTTTCAATGCATCATATATTCTCCAAGTTTTTATTTTTATTAGTTCCCGTTTATTCTCAAGATGTATTTAATTTTGAAAAGTTGATATTAGACGAGCGAGTGATATAAGTGATATAAAGGCAAGAAGTTTTCAATACTTAGGTAATATACTTTTTTTCTTCATCACATATAACTAATCATTGATCCCAACTTTCTTGCAACTTTGCTAGTTTGTTGTCTCTTCTTCTCAAGATTGATTAACGCTCTCACAGATGGATGTTACCAGCTAAGGATTAACAAATAATCTTCTTACAAAATCTTTCATTATTTTTTTAAAATTTGCCCTCTTTTTAATTGTTAAATTGTCGAATTAAAAATTTAAAATTAAAATCAAATTCTGTTCAATAAAATTTATTATTAGCTTTATTTCAATTTCTAGATTATCAAATGCCAATATTATATCTCGTTTCTTATCATTTCATAATATCGGAGAACTGATAACAATCAGACTTTTATCAACTAAAGATAACGTTACTAACCAGTGATTATTGATCCGAAGTCTCGACACCGACGAGGTATGTGTTATCAAACAGAGTTTTACCGTAGACTCGATATCTTTATCAACTAAAGGTAATAACTAGAAATAACAACAAAAAGTAAACTATAAAAGTAACACAAATAATAATCATTAAATAGCAATTATTAATTCAAAACACCGACAAGATGTGATTTAAAAGAATATATCAAAAGTCCGCAATGTATAATTCATAATTAAATTTGAAATATAAAAATCCGTTTAAAATTTTTATGTAATAGAAAATATTTAAAAATTAAGATATACACACAAAATACATATCACTGATGTATATTTTTTACCAGTTTGGTTTTACAAGACATGCCTGCGACATGTCGGCATATCTGGTATGTGCCGACTGACAATAACTCATTCTATTGATAATATAATTTGCACGAAAATATTGAAGAAAATCTCTAAAGATATTTTAACACTTTATACTTGTTACAGCTTACAATATATAAATATCATATTTATCACACTTTAAATAATTTATTAGAAGATGATACAAGTACTACAAAAAGTCCTATCTAGTTCTTATCTAGTTCTAGAAGTCTTATGCAGTTCTTTACAAATATATTATCAATACAAACTTGATGATAATATTCTGAGACAATGCATGTCATATTTTGATATAAGTCATATTATTGTCAATCCCCAATTGTCAGTTAATAATTATCGTCAATCGTTAAATAAAAGAGGTAAAATTCTAAAATGATAATACTCATCAACTGTCCTTCACGACAACAGATGACTCAACTATTCATTAAATGTCGAATTTCTAAACCACATTTAATATTCATCCAACATTCTACTTTATTACAATAGAATTTATTAATTCATAAACGCTTGCAAAAAATCACGCTTTTTTAAAAAATTAATCAATAAAAAATTATTTTACTTGTTAAATATTTTTTCATGTGTTGTAAATTGATAAAATAATCCTTACATTTAAAATTATTTTATAAAAAATTTGCTCATATTGCTGGTAGACATACAAATTATATCAATTTTCTTCAAATGTTCACCAATTAATAATTAATACTGCACGTACTATTCATAGCTACATTTTAGAGTTAAAATTCCATCGAATAAATTATTAGATCAAGTGTGCTTTCGAGATTTGTAATCGACCATGTGTCTCATATTTCATATTTGCACGGGATGGACCGTGACCGTGTGAAATTCCAACGAGAGAGTAAAGACGAAGCGAAACTCAAGGGCGAGGCGGAGTGATCGCACTGAAAGGGTCGGGATGTTGTCAGCGTTACGATATAGGGTCTGTCCTTATCTGCGGAATACAGGCAATGTCTCCCCGCTCTCTCCCGATGTCCTAAGTCCAGGAGAGAAGAGCGAACAGGACATACTGTGATGAATCGGCTATATTGCCCTAGACCATTCTCGAAAGAGGGTTAATTCTGCTTGTACACTGTTCTTTTGTTACATATATTCTCACGCTTGCTTCAAGCAAAAGTATATACTAATCACGTAAATCGCGCAATATTTTAAGACGAAATATGCGCTAGAAAATATAATCCTTTTTACAATCTGTTCACAAAACTTAAAGTCAAGTAAAAGTATAAATAATTTTCAGCAATCGTATTTTTTTCTCTTGTTTTTTTAAATTAATGTTTATACTTCTCATATCAGCAATAATCATTTTTAAAAAGAAAATTATGTTAAGTAAGATAATCCTTCAATAATTAATAAGTTTATACGTAAAATTTTGGAGACACAAATTAAAAAGATAGGCATTATAAAATTACAGATGCAATATTATTATCCTTGATCCCAATATGTGTATGAAAAGATGACAAATCATCTTATCAGTAGCGACAGACGTGATAACCACGCATGGTAACCAGTTCTAAGGATATGTATCTTTTATATTCACGAGTCATGCTTTAGCATCAGTTATAACTACAAGCGGCGGATTTCATATTCGTTCATGCTGCACAGCATATACAGAGTGTCCGAAAAGCATCGAATTTTTATTTCATTGCTATAGTTAGATTTTTTTCTCTGAACATTAATTGTCCATTTCTACAAGTTAAATCACGAGATTTATTTAAATCTCAGTCACAAATGCAATTACAATGCAATTTCAAAATAAAAATGAATTTCCCGACCCTTATTCGACGAATTGTATTCATACTTAATAAAAAAGGCAAATGTTACAACGAGATTCCAATTTCTATCGCGTTTCTTACTCGAACACGTTCTCGCATTCCTCACCGCTCGACCACCGGGTACAATTAACGAATCCTACCGTCTGGCCGGCTCCCGTTGTCCTTAGTGTGAACTTTACAAGACTTATATAATGCATGCGTAAGAAGAATGGACCACCCATGTAGAGAGGTCTCTCTCGACTCGGCCTCGAGTGCTCTCCGGGGTTGCGCGCGCGGACGAAGCACTCCATCAGAAGAAGTAGTCGGCCGGACAGCATACCGGGTAGAAAACGACACCAGTCTCGAGATGCGCGTTTCGTATCAGTCGAATCGAACTCCCGAAGTTTTCTTAGACGCGAACCGTACTATCGTATTCTGCATTTTCGTGAAATTAAAAAAACCATGAATTTCAATTTTATCGTGCGAACAAAGCGCGCCGATTTCAGCCTGTTTTTCACGGAAATTTATCTGTTACGAGATTATTTAGAAATGTATAAGTCTTTAAAGATAATTTATATGTATATAATAATAAAAACAATTTATAAATTTTAGTTATCTTTCTTATGCTCTGCTAATTAAGCTACATTACAATTGAGTTTTGTTATTTGCTTGAACGCTCA